AAGGTTTAATTCTGGTTGCTGGATCTGTTTCAAAATCTTATTTATCTCCTTTTAATTTTATGAGGAGGGCTTAAAAAGGTGAGGCGAGCCCCAGTCTTGAGTGCTTTTGTCTTAAAGGATAGTAGGGAAAACACTTTAATGGTAAATCCGGATTTCCTTTCCCTATTGATATGCATACATAAATGAGAGCATTGCTTTTCTGCAGTTGCCTGCCTAGTAGCCCCAAGGCAAATAAACAATTACACCATTCAGTTGGAGACACTGTGATTTTATCCTTCTTCAAGGTTATATGCTGTGAATCTCTTTTCTCAACTTTCTTAACTTTTAGCCTCAAGAAATGCTTGTATTAAGGCGAGTCCTACAGTTGTTTTTGTCTTAAAATGACTTGACAATATAACAAACCAAAAAAAGTCTTTTTTGGAGGAGAATGTTCAAGAGGGTATTTGACAAAAGACACTAATGTCTAGCCTTGATCCTGGAATACAGCCTGCAAATACAGCAAAACGTGGGTTTTTCAAGAGACATTCAATGTCAGCATAACTTTGCTTACATTCAGACTAACAATGATAACTTCAGAATGAGCAGAGTCAGGTCAATAGTGAATATATATATTTAAATCCTGCCATCAAAAGGAGTTAGAATGCTTGCAGGAGTACATGTGAGTTTAGTAGTCAGGACTTAAATTAAACAGCAGTTAGCACCACTCTGTGCGCACTTTCAGAAGGAGAATAAGAACCTGCCCTTTACAAGTTTTCCTTGGCCTAGCTGATGACTGTAACTCACCAAAGCAGGTGTCTGTGCTTTTGGAGTTACATAAATGGCCCCTACTTTAGTCTTCTCCACTCCTTATGTAGTGATACTGGAGAAGAATATGGTACTTAGTTTTTAAGCGCGTTTGTGGTTGACTTGTTTTCTTTGGAAAGACCATGTCTGTATAAACTTAATGGTAAAAGAGAAAGGTAGTCTTGCCAGAAGAGCAAGTCTATAATATGGGGGCCTATGGTACTGCCTGTATTCTAGGATTGGCAGCAATGATACCGTACTAAAGTGATTTGTCAGTGAAGCCAGAAAATCTGGGAATTAATGAATATCTCTGATACAGAGAAATGGGCTATAGAAACTTGTGAGTATCAAATACTAATGTAATATTTTCAGGAATTACAGAATATGATTTCCAGTTGGAAAAGGGGGTTGAGGAGTAGAAAGAAGAAGGAGGGGAAAATTACAGCTTGTGAAAAATAGTAGATTAATGGCACTGAAGACTGAAACTCAATGTATATTGACTATCTGTAACCCAGACTCTGGTGATCTGAATTCCACCGCACAAACATGTTTTGAAGATCAGGGTTCAATTAAACTAAATACACCTTGCTAGTGCTTCTCAATCAGAATAATAATTTTAAAAAAAAGTTCCTGTTGTTTTATAAAGAATGCCATCTTTGCACTGAACATTTTGAATTTTCATGAATTTTCATGTCTAGAAACTTGTGGTTTTCAGTCAACATTTCTCTGGAGAACAGTACAGTTCTTCCATAGGAAATATTCTTTTCTCCAACCAATTTCAGTAAGTGGGTTGCCTAGAGACTGAAATCTCTGCCTGTGGAGATATTCAGGGTTCAATGTGAGAAGCCCCTGAGCAACCTGATCTAAGTTGGCCTTGCTTTAGCTAGGCGGTTAGCCCAGACGACCCCTAGAGGTCCCTTCTAACCTTAATTAGTCTGCAGTTCTCTGATTCTGATAAGTCTCTCGTCACACTGGATATGCACTGCTCTGAAGACCAACAAGAATGTTACTACTGACCAGAAGAAAATCTGTTTTGCTATGTATATTCCTCCTCAAGAAATCAGTTTGAAACAACCAATTTATTTGAACGTTGGTGGCCTGGCAATTATCATATGGTGATAACTCTATAGGCACAGGTGCCACAGGTCAATTCCAAACACTTATTCCATTTTTGTGCTTGCAAAGTGTTTTATCTCATTGTCCATCCCCTTGATTCCTTGATTGATGTTCCTCTTGATTCTAGACATCACTTTCTAGCAGATTGCTCATGTCAATAGTCATCTTATTTAAATTTCCAAGGGGAGCAATGTTACATTGATTTTTGTTTGCATGTTCCCATAATGTGAAATTGAGTTTACTTCTCCAAACCATTTAATGAGCCAAGCCTGAAAAGTCAATTACAAAAGAAGAATGCTCCTCTCCTCTCAATGAAACATTTAGAAGCTGAAGGATACTGTGTCTAAATACTAATCTAACAATGAGAGTTTAGCAGATTCCATTCACTAAAGTATTTTTGTAACTAAGATGGTGCTCTTGATTTTTTTTTCAGGTATTTTGATTAGCTATTTTCTCCTTAGATTAAGAGAATGTGACATTTCATTCTATTACTCCTCCATCTGGATTTGTTCTTCTCTTTCCAATCTTGTTTTTCTCAGGCTTTCTTAGTGCTCTCCTTTATGAACACTTAACATGAGCAAACCCAAGAGAAATGGATTTCCGTATTAATAATTTAGCATTATTATCTCTTTCTTCTGAAAATAACTGAACCTCCCAAAGGTATTCTGGTTAGATCTTCTGTTGACAAAGCTGATAAAATAACATTACAAGATATCGAGTAAAAAATATTATTTAAACATCTGTATTTATATTTGTGAAAACTATATGGAAGTTTTTTGTGTTTCTGTGTGAAAACATGTAACACATAAGAAATCAAATTTAGATGAAGACAGTGTTCACTTGTGAAACAACGTCTCCACAAGTCACGTTACTGTGGCTGCCACATCTAGTAAGGCTTAAACTACAGTGTGCTGGAAAACGCCTACAAGCTTCCTGTTTAACAGCCATCACTAAATTTACAGGCTGTTTTTAATAAATTTCCTTCATTTCTCAGATTCTATTGGTATGTCAGGACCACGGTTTCCTTCTGTATATTGGACTTATTAGACAGTTCTTTTGAGCTTTGGAGGTGGTTTTTCTTTTTCAGTCTGAGCTGTTTATGTCAAAATTGCCAGTCCGCTGCTGAATTAACCTCATCTTTGAGAGAGTCGTTTGCAGGAGTAGCAGTACTTAGTCTCGGTTTTGTGGTATCTACTTGCTAAAGTCTTATGGGAAAATAAAAGATAATTTGTGAAATGTACCTATAAAGAAAAACATCATTAGAGGCTTGATTTAGAATCCATAAAAGTCAATGGAAAGAGTACAGCTGAATTCATTGTCTCTGAAGCAAGTCTCTTGGGGGCATTTTGTTGCTGTTGTTTCATTTCATGTTGAAATATTTTTCAGAAAGTCATCAGCAAAATAACAGCAAGATTTTTTTCTGAAGTTTTTAATACCAGAAAGTTACCCGTTCCATTATGCGCTAAATCCATTTTTCCATGCAGCCCAATAGTACTTTGGGTACTAATATTTCTCTGTGTCCATTTTTGAGGATTCCAATATTCTATTTATTTAAAAAAATGTTAACTCTGTAGTGACTGTGTTGGGGTTTTATTTCTTTTTTTTTTTTCCCTGTGCTAAAGAAAATTATATATGTGTATCTTAACTGTTGGAGCTATCATTTCTATCACTTCACAAACTAGTAACAACATTCTAGCTACTCTAAGGACATGAACATGCTATAGCAGTTCTGGTAATTTCAGCATCTCTCAGGATAGTGGAGGGAAGAATCAAATAGGCATCAAAAGTACCAGTGTCAGCCTCCCACTCATATAGTCACTATAGCTTCCAGATAAACAATAGTAGGTTTAAGAATTCCCAGTAAATTGTATTAACCAAGAATAAATGTGAGAAACACTGAATATAGTACAATGTCTAAAAAAAATAGGAAATCAACCCTAAAGCCAACTAACAATTTTCTTGCCTGTTTTTCTCAGCCTCCTTTTCCTTTTCTCATACCCTACACACCTTTATCCATTTCCTGGGTGTTCCTTGAACTCAGTCTGTAGTAGTTGTCCCTGTTAATGGGATCCATTTAGTTGTCTCAAGCTGTATTATATGCAATTTTATGAGAATTTCATTGATTCCCATTAGAATTTGAACAATTCATCTTCCAGTATTAACATGTTGCTGTCTGTGTTCTCACGTCAGCTTCAGCTGACCCTGCTGTAGCTTTCTTGTAAAGTACTATTCCTCCTCCTGAGTGCAAACAGAGGTAAAATTCTCACCTTCTCCTCTTTACTGCATATCATCCTCTGTTCTTCGCCAGGCAGCCTTCTGTTAGGTAGCAGCCATTCTGGTGCAAATACCCTATGTAAAGCTCTCTCCACACTATATACAACCCATAGAAAAGAAGATGGGAGCACTGCAAAGAGATCTTCCTGGCATGGTCATGGCCCTTGACCTTCCTGGGCAACAAATCTGTACAATACTATGCTGTGAGCAGCATCAGATTTCCTTTTTCCTGCTGGCATCAATTCTAATACTCAGAATTCACGTGGCCAAGAGTGAAGCTGGAGGAAGGGAAGCTGGAGACCATGGCTCTGTAGCTGGGACTTCATTATTTGTCCGTGTGGGGCAACAACGATGAGAGCACACTGTCATACAAACTTTACTTGATTGCCAGATGTGTCTCCACACATCTGCACTTCTGTGTGGGTGCCGAAAACCCAGTCAATTGGCAGAATCAGATCCTGACTTGCCATTTTGCTTTTAGCTGAAGTTCAGGACCAAGCTTGCAGACTCAGATTTACCCACCAACCTTATTCCCACCCTACACTTGGGTAACCCACAACTGCACATCAGCCTCCCCTCCATGTCCTCCTTTCCATGTGAAGGAAATGCATGTGCAGGCCAGAAGGGAGTCACAGCATGGCTTTCAGGAAACCGGAAGGAAAATAAGTTGACAAAATACTGGTAGAACTACATGTGCTTGAAGAAGAATCAGGAAGAGGAAGGGATGGCATAAGACCAGAAAAATAGATATTGACCACTGATCACAGTTTCTTTCTTTTTTACTTGAAAAAGTAAGCACTGGTGGCTGTTATGTTTTTCTTTTGCAGTCATCTCTAACAAACAGCGACATCATCTTTGTGAAGTTGCATGCCCCTTGGGAGGTCCTGGGCAAATATGCTGAACTAATGAATGTAAGAATGCCTTTCAGGTAGGTGTAGTTGTATTTTGTCTCAACCTCCAAAGTCACACTATACTGTAAAGCTAATGTAATAATAACACCAAAATGCACTGGGAAAAGCTCTTCTATAAGATACCACACATCATCAGAAAACATAAATGGAGTACCTTAGATATTCATTGCTGTTTCTTGTTAATGCCTGCAATTTCAGTACAATACTGGTTTGAAATTAAGGTGCGCTGTAGCAGTGCAGCTGTTTTCATGGGGTATTCTATCCTTAGGCCCTTTAACCCCTTCAGTGCTGGAGCCCCCTGCATACTTGTGCGCTGCTGTTTTTTAAATGGACATTTCATTGAAATCAATGGGAGGTCAAGAAGATCCAGGTACGTAAGGCAGCACAGAAGGTGCATGTCTGTATCTGGTATGTTCAGCACCTGTAAATTGCTTATATAGTGTGTAATTACGGAAACGCAGAGTATAAATAATTATCCCTTCTAATAGGAGAACGATTCAGAATATAAATGCTTTTTTTTCTGCGGAGAAAATAAAGAACTTATATTAAATGCTACTGATAAATAAATCCATTCCACATAGTCATTCAGATTATTTTTATCATTTAGTTAATATTATTTGCATGTTGGGCTATGAAATTTTCTATGTAAAATATTGATTTTACTCTGCTGGTTATCAGAACTGTTAAAATAGCACAAAGACTTCCACTGAAACTGATCAAAACCAATGAACTGAAAGGTCTTGATTCTTCTTTCAATTAGCAGGGTGTATAGTTGCATAACTCCATTGATTTTAATGGAATTACTCCTGAGCAAGAAAAGGATCAGACCCAGAATATGCAACTAGTGAGTTGGTGTCCTTTGTAGGATTTCTGTTCCTGTTTTCTTCTTACTTAAGGATGAAAAATGCCTCTGATAAGAGACAAGCTGTAGCAGTACAGAACTTGCTAGGAAAAATGGATATGAATTGAGGACAAATTACAGGCTTATTCTGTATGTATTTTGGTTTGCATTTTCACAGCAAATCTTCAACTGTTCCTTCTTGTGCTTTTAGTGATAGAGAGAAAAATACAAAAGCCATCACAAGTTATTGCAAGATATTAATATTCTTTGAAAAAAGTTTTACAGCCATAGAAAAAATGGGCTAGGCCAAAAGCATACCTTCTTTGACTTCTGTGGCATTCCTTGGGATGAACCTGCCCCAGCAGGAGGATAAGGTCTCATGATTAAGAAATATACCAGGAACTCAGGTTTTAGTCACTGTGAGCAGCTTGTTCTTTCCTGATCTGAAGTCCCTTTTTTGAAATCCGTCTCTCAGTAGATAGCAAAGTATATGCCATACAGATTATATAGAAAGCAATGAAAATACTGAAGTTTCCTGATCTGCTTCAGGACCAGAGCTTCATTCTTTCCACATCCACAGAGAGAGAATTATTACAATATTGTTAAGAGGAAATCATGGTGATTTACTAATGTCTGCTAGGCAGGCTCTTAAATTTTATTTTAAGAGCAACAATACTGTTTAGCATTTAAAAACAAGTACCAGCATTTTACAAAATGTCCCCTAGTCTAGACTGCCTGTTTCCAGGTGCCCTTGTCTGACCCCTTGCTTTAAGGGCTGTTGATTGCTTGCAGCTCCTGATATTTTAGGTTGGAATTGTCCAAAGTGCACACATCAGTGAATAAAATCCTTGCTGTTTCAAAGCAGGGGTGCCAAAACAGTGGATACCTCTGAATATTTGAAGCAAAATCAAGAAGTGGATGACATCTTCAGAAACATTTAGCTTTGACCCTTCTCTGCTCTTGCTGAGTAGAGCAAGATAAATAACACTATCTTGTGGAGGAGTTGGCCAAAGGAGGCCAGCCAACATGAAATCGTTTTGAAAATTTCACTTCACGAGCACAATGTGGACACTGGTAACAAAAATAATGTCAAAATATTATATGTTATTTAAATTCTAGGTTCTGAAAATCAACGTGGAATTCTAACCAGTTTTTTTCTATAGTTTATAAAGCATCAGCGCTGTCTTATTTTAGAAAGGTCCCAACCATGCTTGTTTCCGAGGCACTAACAGCATTCCTACAGTACAGTTCATTCTGAATATTTTTGTATATAAAAACTGTGGTGTGAGCCCTTCATTTTCAAGAAGTGGTACAGTTCAGCATTACACCATGGAACCTCTCAGAATATACAGAAACCACCTTGAGTTAACAATGACCTCCAGCAGATGACAAAGTCAGCCTCTGGAGGAGGAAACCGGAGTTCAGGCAGGCATCCAAATCTTCTAGTAAGGAGTATCAGCCCCAGACCTACACCTAAAAGCCCTCAGGTTTTCTTAACTCTCATGAAGATGTGATCTTTCTGCTGAAGACTATGGGTCAGATCCTGACAGCTGTGGTCTTATAGGCATGTATGAGGAGAACAAGAGCTGGCAGCAGCAGAGTGGGACAGGAGGTGGACTCCCTGTTCTGGATCTACACAGGATGGTTAGGGGACCGCTCCGCCTGCCTGCCCCAGGCGACATGAGCCCTACAGGGCTGGTCAGGAAGCAGGCCAAGAGTGTGGTCAGCATGTGTCAGCTCGTGCATCCTTGTCTGCTCACTGGTTCTCCACACGTACTCCCACACAGCTTATTGCACTGACAACAAAAATCAGCTGTGCCTGTATGAGGGGCAGAGGGAATGGCTGCATACTTGGGGGGGGGTGGGGGGGGGGGGGGGGCGGAAGGGGCAAGCACATGCTCACTTGCTTGTGTAGCTTATATTGTGTTTCAAGGGATGTTACCTCAACAGCAAGCACTGGTCCCAGTTGGTACTGCATGTGTTATGGCATGTTGCAGCATCAGGTACCACTTTCCTGGCTTTTCTAAGTGATTCCCCTTGTATTTCACCAAATGCAGTTTTAATAATTCACTAGTGGATGTGAGAAAATTTATCTATATTTGTATTAGGCCTATAAAATTCCTGCAACAGTTTATAGACTTCTTTGAAATAGAAACATCTTTGGGTCCCTGTCTTTCACACATGACAAGTAGCAGAAAAAGCGAAGACAATGGGAAAACGATGACCTTCTTGCAGTTCAAATGCCACAAGAGTCTGTGTGGCTTCCTGTGACAGTTCTGTTAATCTCTCTTTTAGTCTCTTCCTCCACCTCTTACAGGCTTCTGTCTTCAATCTCCTTTCCTTCCTTGCTAGTTCATACTGTAACTGACGATGGGTTTTCTTCTCGACTGGCTTCATTTTTGCTGTTCTTCCAGGAGAAAAATCTATTACCTGCACCGCCGATACAAGTTCATGAATAGGTGAGTACAATTCTCATGCCAGTCCAGTTTATGTTCATTTGGACTCAATAACAAAAATGATGGTTAAGGTCAAGTTGGAAGGAAAAGTTTATTAATTAGCTGTGTTTGTAGGAAAGTTGAAGGGAGTGATTACACACTAGGACATCTGCAAAAACAAATACAGAAGCTACATTTTAAGGCATCTGCCACATGAAAGAGGCAATTCATTTTATCAGTGTTGCCTTTTTTAGAAATAAGGAAATATTTTTCAGTTGATGGAGTCTTTTAAAGAAGAATATGTGTGTTAGTGCAAGCACTGTATCTCTCTTTTCATGTAGCTCATTAGGAAGTTTCTTGGGGTTAAAATACCACAGTTATGGCTTTTTTTTCATTTCCATGCACCTTGCTTACTTATAATAGTGATGGCATTATTTATTTATTGCTTCCTTTGTGGGGATGCTTAGTACTTTGTTGCTAGATAGGAAGGAAATGAACCAAGTTCATCTCTGGTGTAACATTATTGAGCCTGAGAGATGAGTATTTTTCAAGAATCTTTGAAGTGCTTTCACTCAATTATTAAATATCTTTAAGGTTATGTTTCATGCTTGTTTTATGCCTGACTTAATACAATAAAAAACTTCCAATGCTGCAGTTCGCATTTTCTTCTTAATACATTGGACAATTAAATGAAAATGTCTCCAAAAAGTCTAAAAAATATACAGGCTTGGAAAAGACCAGAATCATATGTTGGCATTTAATGTCACAGTGCTGTTGATGGAGTTTTCAGAAGGGCCTAGCATTTGATTTACTGTCTCACTCTGAGATCAGTGGAAAAACTCCCATGAACCTTTGAGAGAGAAGCATTAGCTTTGAAAAATCTGCATGTTGGAGTAAACAGCTGTATCACTCTGCAGCTAATGTCAGTAGATGAACATCCATGGGAAAATAAATCACATATGATCACTCTGCTGTATAAGCATATTAAAAAGCATTTTGTATATCAAATTCCATCACACTGTGCTGGTGACTTGAAAGTACCAGCATTGGTCTCACATTATCATATTTGTTTCTTTATATTAGTAAGGACCAAATGAGCTCTTTGTGGCATTCAGACATTTTACCTAGTTGACACAGGCTCATAGACGCACACAATTCTTCTAAAGCTTGTCGATGCTCCCCCCTTTCCATCACCACCTTACAATAAATACTATAGCACCTGTTAACTTTGGAATTTGTCTTGATTTTAATTAAGACATGGCTGCTTTGACTAAAGCAATAGATTAAAATGAAGGAGTAGATGAAGATTCCAACATTTATGTGTGGTCTATGAAATTTTGCTTTACATTCATTTTCTTATGAGTCAGGATGCAATCTGAAGTCAGTATGGGAAGAGGTATAATCTTTTTCTGGTATTTTAGTTCCTGAGTGATGACAACACTTGGCTAAATTCAATTTTTATGTTCAGGTCTATAAATAGCTACTTGAGGTGGAAAAGCTATAACAAAATAGTTGCAGTGGAAAAAAAAGAAAACATATTCAGCTTTATTTTCATTTATGTGAAACTCAGATATACAGCTTCAATAAAAGCACCTATTTCTTCTGCTCCTAGTTCAGTGCAGATTGCAAGTAACTGAAGCCTTGATCCATTTTTTTTGAGCAAAGCCAAACATTATATTGACATTCAGGCAAAATTTATTTTAAAGAGGACTTTTGTTACAAAGTAAAACCCAGAGCAAGTCGCTTGCAACTTGTCAATCTGACTTGAATTTTCTCTCTGAAAAATTCTAGTGATCCCAAAATTTCAAATAACAAAACTCCCCTCATATATTCTAGAGAAAAGGAGGTGTATTAGGTACCTACACAGTACCTAGAATGCTACCTGCATTGTGCTTAAAAACTAAACTAAGATAGTATCTAGCACTACAATATGCATTAAGCTCTGTCAAAGTTGAGCCAGAGATAAAAACCAGTCTTGATTCAAAACATTTTTTTTCCTAACTTCCTCTTCCCTTTGAAAAAATGATTCTATCCCTACCCCACTTCCTATTGAGAAACCAGTTTCTCTGAAATTATTTGAGAAAGCCTTTGTGTGAGTTAAGCACGATATCTATCTTCAGAAAGAGCATACTGGGTAAAGAGTAGACCTGGAGAGCAGGGGCAGGATTGAAGTGGAAGAGACTCTGTCTTTGAGACGTGATGTGAATTAAGACAATGATTTTTTGCTATGTGAGGCTAACAAGTGTTTTTAAAGAAGGAATTTAAGAAGGATACTATCATCAGGTCTTCCACTCTTCTCTTTCATTGTGGCTAACTCTACAGTGCCTCATCACTCCATGCACTCTGTTGTTCTTGTGTAGGTTGCTCTGCTTTCCAAATACCATTTCCCTATTCAGCTGAGTATATAAGCTTTTCTGTAAGGGAAGGTGAGGCATGGGTTAGCCTTGAAGAAGCGATAAAACACAGTAGATTTTTAACACTGTGTGTCTGCGTTTGTTAGCACCAACACCACTCTTTCAGCCTTCTTTTTTTGAGACATGCTCCTGTACAGTATAAAGCCTGCACTGCTGGCTGATGGCACTGTTGAAGTGGCCTGAAGGCAATTTAAGAGTTTGGTCATTTTTCTTTTCCAAGGAGATAACTAGGCTTTTTTTCCGTAGGGATGGCTTTGTTGTACTGTATGTTCTGGGCCTTGTAGAGAGGCTTTGCAACCTTTTCAGACCTGTTTGCCAGCAGGGAAGGAGCAGGCTCACTGAGCATGCCAAGTAAGCTGAGCCTTGGGAATGGAAAACCAGTCAAATTCTGGATACTCTCAGTGAGAAGCCAACATGAATAATGCATTGCTCTTAAGTGGGGAAAGCACTGTGTGTGCTGTGCGTGCAGGCACGGTGTGATAAACCTGCAGCACACGTATCTCAAATGTGCACATTGACTGGTGGGATGAGGGGGAAAGGATTGCAGATTAGCAAGGGTGTTAATAGCTTAGAGAATTCAAACGATTTTAGTTAACAAATAAGCACGGAATGGGATTTTAGAAAACCTGCCTGATTCCTCTTCCCTTTTCCATACCCAGAGTCACTAAGCCTGCCGAATATACAGTAATGCAGAGCTTGTGGCCTTTACAGAGGGAAAACTGGAAGCCAAGAGAGAGGGAATCCCCCTGGAGAGAACTTACTTTTCCCTTGTCATTCCTATCAGTGTCTGCACAGACTAGCTCAAGGCTGTCAGGCTGGATGCTGCAACTGGAGAGTTACAGTTGGTCAGGCCCTTTACAGCACTGTGATCTGGGTACAGACATTTGCAAACTACCTCCTCCCGCACTTTGAACTGCTGGGCTGGTGCAAGCACTGCCCATGAAGAGTTTATGATTAATTTAGTATGTCTTATGTTCATATACACATTCCAGTTCTTCCAAACAGTCCTGATGGTAAATTTGCACCCCCCATGCTATTCCCAGAATGGGAATACACAAATGGTACCAAAACAAGTAGAGCTAATTTGTTTACAATTTTTAAATGTGGCCATGTTTAAAAATTAGCATTAGCTTTCTTATCCAAGATAAAAATACCTGAGGTTGAATATTCCATGAAATATTATGTGTATTTTAAATGAAAATATGTAATAATTTCACGTCACTCCCACACACTCAGCTGCTTGGGTATGGATTGCCCTCCCTCAGAGTGACTGTGTAGAGCTCACACCATTTGCTGGTCATAGAGTTATTGCACTGACTTCTGTCAAAAGAAAAGAAACAACTACATTTCCAGTCCTTGAGCTTCATCCAGAACTGGATGTAAAGTTCAAAGGATGTAAATTCATGCCCTTTAGCTCTAGTCCTGGAAAGATTCATCCACTGACTGAAGTATGTGCATACTCCATAATTCGTAGTCTATGATTTTTGCAGGCAGGGATCACTGATTAGGACTTGAAGGTGTTAGGAACTTCTGAGAGAGTAGAGCTCATTGTGCCAGACATACTTCATCTTTCTTATGTGTTTTTCATTATAACATTTTAGTTTGGATTTGAATTTGGTTTAGGTTGGCTTCTCCAATCAGCTCTGATTCTTCCCTTTTCCTTCATTTCAGTGTGCGTCTTTGCATGAGTGCACTTGCAGTTAAATCTGCCCTTTCTCCAGCTTGATCTTAGTTTGCTTTCACCTTCTAAATGTAAGAATCTGCGTAGCAGTCGCCTATTAATCTATACACTGAGTGTTCTGGTTTCATGGAGGTTGTAGTGTTGCAAGACACTACAATTGAACCAAATGAACAAAGTAGCCTATTTTTTATAGCATCAATTGTGAGGTAAGAATCCGTAGGGACAGCAGTAAAGGGATGCAACTTTCTGGGGTTTAGCTTCCAAAGCTTTCTGTCACAGTCTCTGATGTTCTAATGTTTATGTGTCCAAAGTCTAATGTGTCAATTAAGCCTGAAATTTAAGCTAACTGAAAAGCTGAGAAATAAAGGTTTAGGGAGTTGCCAAAAGCCTACTCGGCTTAATGAGATTTATAGCAGCATGTACCATCAGCATCGTTTTTCTGTTGAGACAAAATAAGATGCTCCTCTGCTGAAAGCTGGTTATTGATAATCAAGTTCAGCATGTATAATTTGGTCTACCTTGAAAAAGTCAAAAGACATTGCATCTTTTCTAGCTGTAAATATTAAGAGGCCTATTTTGCCAGCATGTGTTCTTTGTAAGTGCTCTGTAATGTAATGAAAAAAACACTATCTCAAATGCTCGCACTTTTCATGTGCTGCAGGATCGAGAAACAAATAAGCAGGTTTCGAGGATGGTTACCTAGAAAGCCAATGAAACTGGACAAGGAGACACTGCCAGATCTGGAGGAGAATGACTGCTATACTGCTCCATTCAGCCAACAAAGGATCCATCAGTGAGTATTTTATTATATCTTAATTACAAGATGCAAACTCTTCCTTCTGGATTCACCCTGGAAAAAATCAATTTCTTAGTTCATGTCTTAAAGACTAGTGCCTTCAAATTAGGTCTTTGTCACAAAAAGGGAGAGAGAGAGTGTCCTGAGAAAGCATAAAGTATCTCTACATTTCTAATAATTAAAGGTCCAGCTCAAAGCTAAAGGAAATCAATGGAAAAGTTCTTTTTAATTCACTGGAATTTCAATTACATCCCTAAAGTAGTCAAATGGCTAATTCTCTCTCGGGTCAGAATTGCAGTTGTTCTTTGTCACTTAAAGATGTGATTAAAACTTCATTTTCAGCATTTCTATGTCTTTAGCATAATCAAAATTAGTCCTTCTAACACTGATGTTCAAAATAAACTGATATTGCATTTCATTCCTAGTTATGACTGTAGAACAAACAGAACTCTAAAGAAAGCAGAGAATGTCGTTTTGTTTGTATTTTTCTGTCTGTTACTTTTATGGAAGCAAAACTGCTTGCAAAATGCCAGTGTTAACACCTATCAGTGACAGTTGTCCAAGTGTACCAATGGCACCAGTGTTGCACCAATGCCACTAGAGAAATCGTTTGACTTCTACAAGCATTTATTCACTTGCAAAATGCAAAACAGAAAAAGCCCCATGTGACTTTCATATCCCATGATGAATTTCAGGGCTGTCAAATTTTGGAGAAAGAGGGTGTCTTATGGGTTGATACAGTGTTTGTGATATGGGAAACAGTCATTGACTAACTGAGAACAAATTCACAAGGAATAGGCAGCACTGATGAGGGTACTAACAGAAGACAGAGAATGAATTGCAAGCAGCTCAAAGTCTGAAAATCCGAAATATGTGGTTTTATTCAGGAAGAAGCCAAATTGATATAATGCTCTTAAATGCCTCACTTTGAACAATTTTTTGAACAATTTATTAGCTGCAATAGGAATGAATAAAATAGACCTCCTCTGCCATAATGCCCTCCGCCATTATGGGGAGCAGAATGAAGTCCCCATAATCCAAGGGAAAATGGTTAGCAATCTGCTACACAACTTAGACACACACAAGTCTATGGAGCTGGATGGGATCAACCCAAGTGCACTGAGGGAGATGGCGAAGGGCTCACCAAACCACTTTCAATCATCTATCAGCAGCCCTGGCTAACTGGCAAGGTCCTACATGGCTGGAGGTTAGCAAATGTGATGCCCATCTACAAGAAGGACTGGAAGGAGGATGCGGGGAACTACAGGCCTGTCAGTCTGACCTCGGTGCTGGGGAAGGTTATGGAGCAGATCATCTTGGGTGCTTGAGTCAGGTTCAGACTACAGAGTCTTCCAATACTTGAGCAAAAAGATGGGTCCGTTATTGTGCCCTGCAATAGGAAGAGTAAGTGCAAATTAGTTCGAGAATAGACAAGTGATAGTAAAAAAATGAAGAAATTGGGATGTCTGGGTTCATATTTTTATTAATAGTAATATTAACTATTAACTTCCCTTAAAATTACAGCACATAAGAAAGGGGGTTTTTGTGTCTGGAAGGAGAAGTGGTGTATATGAACCAGAATATTTTTTTCATTCTTCTGTCTTGCTCATGTTTGTGTTGGTAAACTGGCAGGGGTGGGGGGGAGTATTAAATACTATGTTAGTTTCATTAGCATTCCTAGCAGACTTTGAAGCTCTACTCCCCAGCAGGCCTGACATTTTCTGTTTTGCTTTCTGTACAGTCTTCCATTCCTTTTGTGTGGGGACTGATAAAATGCTGGCTGAGGTGCCCTCATTCTCCCAAAAGGTGCTGGCTCTGACAGGATTCTTGTCTGTTGGCTGTGTCTGTCTTATTCTGTTTCACTAAAATCTTGAAATATAATGACTTGTTCAATATTCATCTAGTGAGTTGCATGCAGGCATTTTAATTGTCCCAAGGATTTCAGGGTATGTTGGTAAGCAGAGCATTTCGGGAACATCTTTAGTATGTGCTTTTAATCTTTGATTGTGGAGTATGGTTATCAAATAATTGGAAATGTAGAGTTAAAAAGAATGATTTTATTAGTATCAGTTAACAGTTAAGAAGTCTATTATGTTGGGGTGCGCTTTGTACAAATTGCTGCTTACTTTGTGCAAATTGCTGCTTCTTCTAAGATATACATAAACATTCTGTTGAAAGACCTCTATATAACGAGCCAGTAGTAAATATGCCCACCTATCCCCAAACATGGGGAAAGTATGTTTATCCCAACATGTGTTAACTGATGTAGCAGTTACTGTGACTGGCACCTTCATTTGTCTGAGTCACTTGTGCCAGATGAGGGTTTGATTGCTAAGAAAATTATTTCCTTTCACCTCTGCCCACTGCTAAGTGTAGTAACCTTCACAAGGGCAGCACTAATAATTGTCACCTACTCAGAACAGTAACAGAAATGCTCTAAAGTTGATAAAATCCTGCCTCCATATAAGATTAAACTTCAGGTTTTTTTCAGTTGTCACTGTTGCATTACATAAGCTTTTACTTGGTTTTTAACAAGTAAAAAAGTTACTAATTGAGTATTTTTTTTTTTAACCTGTCAAGGGTTTTATTTAAATTTCTAACCCAGAGCCCCACAATACTGTTTAAGGAATGTGAAGATAAATAGTTACTGAAATTCTTGAGCTGCAGAAATAAAAGTTGCCATCTACAATAATGTCATGATAATTTAGCTTGCAGTTCGCCAGTGGTAAAAGTCCATGCATTTTCTTATTTGGTGTAGCTAAGGCTTTCCTAGAGTGCTCTTACCATACCGTATTGCCATTACAATGCAGTTATAATGGAGTCTATAAAATTGTCATGGGCAGTTACTTGTGGCGTTCACATTGTTTTCAACAAGTACATCATCCTATAGGCTAGAATAACAGTGACAGTCTCTTCCCTGCTCTTGGGCTTTTAGATGTGACCCTGCATCCCTTTCCATCACACACTTGGGCCAAAACTGCTTCAGACAGAGCACACATAGGACAGAGGGGTGTCCCAGTACCACATCGATGCTCCACTGGCTAACCTCGGTGTGGTTTAAGACTTTTCATCCAACATAGGACCATTTTTTGAAGAAGGAAAATGTTAGTAGCATGTTGAGTTCTTGAAGTCCTCAGTGAACGGGGAATGAATGCAAGGCTTTCAGACCTTCTACACTGTGTTAAGGTGGTAGCTGAAAAATGTCACTAGTGTCTGCTTTTCCTTTTTATCAGATCTTATGTACAGATTTTGAGTTTCAAGTTTATAGTAAAGAAGACTAAATTTTCTTGCAAATCTGGAATCCTAAGTGAGAAGAAAAGATGAGTGGGAAGAACATTAAACTGTTCTTTAATAAATAGCCACAGGAGCCTAAAACATATAATCAGTCTTTTAATTACACTAATGAGGATTTTTCTGGCTATTTTACAAGTATTTCTGGAGAGCAAGATATGTACTTTTGCGAGTTGAGCATATCCAGGATTTCTGTGTTGTCATAAACCAATGCTTATCCAAGACATGCTGAACGATTGGCCGTGTAGTAAATAATTCACAAATACAACCATCTTGGAAGTATAAATCTCCATTTACTGAGTTTTCAGATAAGATCTCTGTGTCTTCACTGTAGGTTTTCGCACACACCATAGCTGGAGGTTGCAGAATTCTTCCTTCTCTCGTGGTTTTATGTGCTTTTAATTTTCTAAAATATTATTCTTTAAATATTTATATGAGCTTGTCCATGTTTGATGTTTGTCCAGATATTGTGATATTGCAATTTGGGTCTAGAATTCCTTATTTCTTCCTTTCTTCATAGCCTCAGACATTTTTCACCTCAGCAACGAAGAGGCATTTTCTCTTTTTTGATCTAGCCACAGTTTGCACATCCAGGTCTCCAATCTGATACAGACGATGTTTGAAACATGGTATGAGTACAGTCCTCATTTGTGATAGCTGCTTTTAGAAGCATGGAATGACAGATGACTGACAGTACTTACAGTGCGGAGTCTGGGAAGTAAAATAGTTAAGACCAAAACCAGCAAGGTCTGATCAGACCTTTTTTCAATAGGATTAATATTTTTGAAATCAAAAAGGCCAGATATGGAGAAAGGCTAGCTTTCAGAAAAAACTAAATTTGTATTAAGAGACACAGCTAACCATCTGCCCTTCCTCCAAAACAGGCAAAGAAGAAAACTGTAAGAATCGCATATTTAAGATGTGCCTATAACTTTTGCAGTATGACTTCAGGTTTTCTTTTAAAGGGATTATGGCATACCTTATAGGATATACCACAAAATTGTCAGTACAAGAGAAGGTCTCAATTAATCTTATTTCCTAAGTAACAGGAAATCTCTTTTTGGAGGAAAGAAGCTCTGCCTGGCTGAGGTAAGCATTTTTTTGGAATTGTGTAGACTACAAAATAGTAATTTTCAGGATAGACTTCTGAGTAGTATCTCTCTTCTGCAGCCACAGCTTGGGAAGGGCTTTATTTATGCCAAAAGATTTCTTCTGAAAATTATCAGTTACAAGAATGCACAGTTCACAATATGTGAAAAATGTTTTCCATCAGACATGATGATAATTATTTTTCTACTACATCTTAGTTATTTTATGTAGTTAGCTGCTAGTCAGCTGGGAATAGTAACAGTAGTAATCAGCTGCAATTTCTTAGATAGCTATATACTAGGTATGAAAATGCTTTTAATTGCTGTTTAGAGATTTCAAACTTTATATCAGGAGCTATTTTCCCCTTTTTTTTTTCTTCCAAACATGCTAAACTCTCTGGTTAAATATCAATCTAATATATAATTGAATAAACCACTTAAAAATAAATATTTATTACTTCAGTGAAAATTAGATTAAAAAATTACACAATTAGGAGGACTAGGACAGTATCTGGATAGTTTAACAAAAATGGCCCTGTATACCAGAGGTTAATGGAGTTACTCTCATTTGTACTATGTCCCCTTGTGGTACATGAAGATCTTGTCCTGTATCTTTGT